CGCAGTGTGTTCAAATGCCACTTTTCTGACCCAACTGGCCCAGACAAAGCTCATGTGAGGCAATGCAACAGTCGGCCTATGTCACTGCTAGTTCTTTCACATGAACTTGGTGTGTCTCTGCCCTAAGAGGCATAAACCAGGAAAAACAAAAACTAAAAGTGCACAAAAGTATGTGGCCATATGCAGTATTGACTGAACATCTTACTGCTGTACTGTTTGTTCTAAACTGCCAGTCAAACAGCTAAAATATACACTAAGCATTACTTGGAAAATATTTTATTATGTAAAAGAAAGGAATGGAAAACCTCAATAAAGCACCTTGTTAAATTCTTAACCAAGAAAAGTCTGTTGCTAATTGACATGTATAGCCATATTCCAGGGTTTAATCAATTCAGTGGTTTTGTGATGCATACTATATTAATGAATTTTCCCTTCGGTGGAGCAGAAGTGATAAAACAAAATTAGTCAAGCTCAAAGTTACGGTAAACATTCAATTCCCAGGTTGGATCAGGACACAAAATTTACACCTTGTAAGATTTTATCCCTGGCAACCAAAAGTTCAATTAGGCAACTGCCATTCACAAAGCTGCTGACTCATATGCAGATCAAATACAAATGTAATGTGCAAGTGAAATGCAAGTAAGGGGAAGTCATTGTTAAATTCGTGTGTTACATTAAAGAGCACATGCTCTATGGATAAAGATCATTTCTATTACAAAATAGTGAAGTGCATTACTGCAGACATTTGGCTGAATTACTAACCATGGTCAACAGGCTGTCATTGTGGACAAAATGAACTGAAATGAAGAAATAACCCAAACAGTGACCAGCACGTCAGCAGTATGAGCTGTGCAGCCAAAACAAGGTCAGATGGGAACAGGTCTGATGTGTTTTGCCATGGGCACATGACCCTGTGAGGTCTGTTTTTGGCCTGTCCTTCTGGGTGGAAAATTGTGGGTCAGTTCACTTCACTTACTTCCACCAAAATTAAAAAAAGTACCAGGGCCACCCTAAAAAGGGCAGTTGTCAGAGTCCTGTGTGATGAGTCATGCTGTTTATGCAAGAGGCCAGGAGGAGGTTTTCCAGCCAGAGGTGAGATACAAGCGCTGCTACAATAGCAGAGGCACAAAAGGGATCAAATTTAAAAGAGGATACATTACTACAAAATTGTATGCATTGCAAAGCCTATGTGTAGAGAAGAAAGTACAGAACATAATGAAGAAACTGTTGCTGCTCGCGCTGATTAACTACCTTCATGTCTCAATATCTGATGGTTTGGAACCGGGTGCCATCGGGAGATATAATTTTGCACATACTGTGTAATTTGGGCCTATCTTATTACATAAAGGTAATCACTGACCTGAGTTGGGAAGGCGGTGTAAGGTAAAGGTGTAATCTCAGAATAGAAAGGACACTGACAGTGATGAGCCTGTGACACTGTTGTACATTCAGGTCAGGAGACAATTGATTATATGCATACAATCCAAGGCATCGATCTTTATGGCAACACTATTCCTTTGGGTTTCCACTTGTAACTACACTGCTTTTTCTGAAACTCTCCCGACCTTTTTCTGTTCACAACTGCACTGACAGACTGTTTCTTTCTGGAGACCTTGTGGATATTTCTACTTTTTACATTCTTTAAAGTATTATACAATATCACAGCATATATTACAGAGTGGGACATAAAAATATAGTATTGAAATTCTTTTTCTTTATTTTGTGGCATTACTGGTATAATTATAATACTGTACAGCATATAACTAATTACTGTAGTGTATTGTAGATGCACCCCTTGTTACGGTGGACAGAATGTTTCCTAATGTCTTCTGTTTTGAACTTAACAGTTTTGACACAAACTGCATTGCACTATTCTTACATCTGTAATTGCCCGTCTGATAAGAATCAAACATCTGCCTGCACAGCAGAAAGCTGCCATCTCAAACCTGTGTAAAGTATATGGGCATGCTGTGCTGTGTTTAGTGACATTACTGGGACTCGTGTGGACGTTTCAGGGGAGGATTCTCCATCTGTAACATTGCTGGGTTATTCTGTCTTTAACGGCTTTTTTAAGTTTCACTTATGGGAAAAACTTTAACTGCTGACAGTGTTCAAACATGATAGGCTCTTTACAGTTAGTCACAGTGCCCATGAGATATTTGGCATCTGGCAACTCTGAAAGTTAGGTACAATGTCCCAAACAAACATAATATTGACACAAAAATTGTCTTGATTTCTTGTGCTCAGTGAGAGGAAGTGCTGCTCTGAAGAACTTGTGTGAGAATTTCGTAATCATGGGAAGGCCTTTTACTGACAAAACACTGTAATGGCTTTTATTAATATATTCACACTAAAAATGTTGCTAGTACCTTAGTAAGTAGATTGCCAGAAAAAGAACTGAATGATAACATCAAGGAAAATCACAATTTAAAAATGATGTCTAAAAACGGGCTATTAATGTCTGTAGATGATATTGATCTTAGATGAGATAGACAATGATAGACAGCACATCGGGAGCACCGGGACATTTCCCAATGGCCTGGGGCTCATGAAGCCTGCTGTGAACAGTCAGCTTCGCCAGTAGTAATATAGTGTTAGGTATATTTAGTCAGATAGATATTGGTTATGTATTAGAAATGTTTAGTGGAGATAGGACGGCTAGTTAGACTTAAATGCTTAGTCATGCTTATGAGTTTCTACAGGGTACATCTGGTCAAGGATAACTAGAGAGAAGAGTTGATGACTGTCAGCAGACAGGATGTTTAATATTATTATTATGACGTGTATAACTGTAGCCTTAGCCATAATATGTTCTTATGTTTAAGCCACGACATGTTACTAGAGGTCGTGAGAATGTTTTTAGCTACACACCACTTAACCAACAGACACACACA